AGTAATAAAAAAACTAATGTATCACATGTGATGAAGTGGGGGGGGGGGGTTAGCAGATATCTGGGAGAGCATTGATCTTCATTTTAGTATTATCTAATCCCAAATTAGAATATGTATTAATGTTCTAATGGAGAAATAGGCACATTCATCTTAGGCATTGCGCAGCCTTTGCACATCTATATTACCTTCCATTACAGAGAACTAGGGTTAAGAATATTAACAGGCAAGTTATTTTTAAAGTACTAGAAAATATTTATAAAAAATTAAAGGCTCACTACTCCATTCCAATATTTGGGAAGTGAAAGTTCAAGGTTGTCCTCAGCTACATACAAAGTTCAAGGTCAGCCTGGGCTACAAGACATCTGAAAAAATACTTAAAAACTTTTAAATTATATTTTCTAAAATAAAAAAATCAGCTCATTAACTCATTCGTACAAGTAAAAACATTAGTAAATTTGTGTTAGTCTGATTTGGAAAAACAATGACATTCAGACTTGGTGAGGACATTGAGAAAGATGGCATTTTTATTTCTTTGTACTTGGAAGGTTGCAATAAGAGGACCACTTGAGGCCAGGGGTTTGTGACCAGCCCAGGCAGCATCGTGAGACACAGCCCAAACAAACAAACAAATAAAAAATCAAAACCAAACCAAGGGCAGAGATGTGTGCCAGTTACCACACATCTGCCCAGCATAAATAAGGCCCCAGAATGATCTCTACCACACTACCAAGAGGAACCCAAGGGTTTTTGATCGACCTAGCAGTCTTTGTCCACACCAAAAAGATGAAACAAGATTACATATTAGTTTTGTTATACATTTGACCCATGAGAATGGTTGACAGGTATGTGTAAGACAAAAGCAAATTATAAGTCAGTATTTACTATAGCTAAATGTTTTTGTATGCATATTTTCCTGGTAGAATTTTTTCTTTATACATATTTATTTCCATAATTTTACAAATTATGTCATTTAGATATTTCAATGGCCAGATCATTAAACACAAATGACATTCTAAAATGATATAGACTAACAAAATCTTAACAAAATAAAGGGAAATGTTGACTAATTGAACATATAAGCTTCAAACTGAACATTACATTTGAGATTGCAAAGTAAACATACATAAGGGAAAAAATGTCTAGATGAAAAAACATCTTCCTGGTTGGGTGGCACACACAATTAATCCTAGAACTCTTGCGACAGAGGGAGAGGGGCCTCTGTGAGTTGGAGGCCAGGTTAGACTACATGAGTTCCCAAACTGACTATATATATATATATATATATATATATAGAGAGAGAGAGAGAGAGAGAGACAGAGAGAGAGACAGAGACAGAGAGAGACAGACAGAGAGAGACAGAGACAGAGAGACACAGAGAGAGATAGAGAGAGACAGAGAGAGAGAGAGAGAGAGAAGGAGAGAGAGAGATTTAATTTCCATAGTGGCCATTTGGATAGGGGAATTAAAACTGACATATTTCTATGTCCAGTTGTTTATTTACAATTTTAACCTTAAATTACTAAAATAATATTATTCCTGGAACTATTTCAGGTCATGAGCCAGAGGTAAGTTGGTGATGTTTAATAATGCAAACTGTTCCAATAGATAGCCTTCAGTTTGTTTCTTGCTCACACACGCTCCAAAATGAATATTCCCATTGCAGTTTTGTTCCATTTTACTCTTTTTGCTAACCTGCTTAGTTCATCGAGATTACAGCGCTTAATACTGTTTGCTGTTTAAGAGGACATATGGGCCCTACTTTAGTTTTTTCTTCCTCTTCCATCTTATTTTATTATTATATATTAACTTTACAAAGTGGTGAGTTTCATTTGGAAACTTCTTCCATGCATATAGTACATTTTGGTCATATACACCTTCTCCTTACTCTTTCCCTCCCACTCCAGTCATATTTCCTTTCATATTTCTGACAGCCCCCTCTACTCCCATGTCTCCCTGTCTCCAAAGTCCACACTTGAGAGAAAGCATGTGGTATTTGTCTTTCTGAGTCTGGTTTATTTCTTTTCTCCTGATGACCCCCACTTCCATCCGTTTCCCTGTAAACAATGTCATTTTCTCTTCTTATAAAACTAGTACATTTCAGCTTGCTCTGGCATGGTGGCACATGCCTGTAATACCAGCACTAGAGACAGGGAAGAGGATTAAGAATCCAGGGCCATCCTTAGCAACGTAGAGAGTTAGAGTCCACCACGCGCTACCTGCAATTCTGACTAAAAAAAAGTAAATAAAAATAATGCATTTCCATTATTTGCAAAAATAATATGCAAATAAGGTAACATAAAATTGCCCTTCTTTCTGGCTATTGCCCTTTCCCCCTCACAAAATTAAAATTAAATTATACTACTAATAATATAGTTATTATAATCTCTCCACTCACTGTAAGAGAATACAATCTTCTGCATTCCACTAAGTAGAAGTTTAGAATAAACTTTTCTTACTGGGAAGACAGCACATCATTCCATGCCTATATCTGACCTACATTGTTGAAGATTTGGGTGGTCTAGGAGGTTTGCCAAAAGGGTCTCTTATTAGCTCCTTCCTAACATTAGGAATAAACCTTTCTGCTGGCACGCTCAGGACCTGTGACACCCAAGTGTGTCTTTTCCTCTAAATTCTCGATCTGGAAGGTTTTGTGTAGGTGTCAGCAAGCCTATTATTTGCAACCCTGTCCTTCAGGATCCTTGGAGCTTCAGTCTCTCCTCTGTCATTTGCTGCTCATACATGGAGAGCAGCAAGCACACAGTTCAATCCTTGGTTAAAGGATCTGGCTGCCTGCAGACACTTTTGTTAAAAGGGCCGGCTGTGATACTGCCTTCTCCCACTAACGAAATATCCACACTCAGTGGAGACATCTGAGATGCTCTCAAAACACCCTTTCAGGAGGGACACTAAGACAGAACAGAGGTGCTGAGGTCTGTATAGCCCTGGTCTTCTACAAAGTCAAGAACAACTAAATTGGTTTCTCAATTGGGAGTGGGGGTGTCTCTGGGACAGCTGTAGCTGGTCACTGCCTCCCCAGAGGATCGGTATAAGGAACTTATGCAGCCCAGGAAGGAGATGGGAAATACCCAATATTAATGTCTCAATACTCCAGAGGAGAAAAAAAATGTAACTGACAGAAATGAACAGTCACAAACAGATGCACAAACTGCCCATAGATATTGTGAAATATATCAACAGTCTTGCTTCTTCAAACCACAATTTTTGTTAAAATTAAAATGTTTTAAAGATATGTACTTTGATCTATTAGACTAGTCTCCTCTTTACTCAAATGTTCTCTCCAACACCACACACACACACATTCACACACACACACACACACACACACACACACATTGGGAAGTCTACAGAGTCTATGCATACCATTGAAAGAATACTTAGGAGGCGATTACTGCATTTTATGTCAGGAGGTGAAGCCATTTTCTAGAAACCCTCTATGATTCTCCCCTCCAACCCTAGAAAAGTCACCATTCTGACTTGATGCAGCTTTCCTGCTCTTGTATGTTCTTTTCTCTTGTGTGTAAACTTCTAGACATAAAGTCACACATTGTGCTAAAATTGAGCTTTATATAAACATGATCATACTAAGTGTTTTCTTCTTGGGCCCTTTCTAACGTTTTCTACATACGTGGAAGAGACAAATGTTCAGTTATATTTGTAGCTGTCCTAATATAGAACATCCCACGAGTTACTGTTCCCAAGTCTTCCTAGGCTGAGGCTGTCCCAATACTGCTGCTCAGAGAGATGCAGCTGTGCCCTCCTTGGATGTGAGCTTCCTTTGGGTTTATATCTATGGATGGGTGGTGATGCTGGTATCTTAGACATCAGTAGCTTCCGTCTAGACTCTTACTTCAGTTTGGGCCTGAAGATAGCTCCTGCACAGTGAGTTCTCAGGCTTTTCCATTTTGGGGACATGTTAAACAGCTATGCTTCTTGTTGTTTTCGGTTGACATGAAATCTCTTGCTACTGGTATAAAATGACCAGTGTACACCTTTATTTACATAACTGGGTGTGTGACTTTGATGCCTCTTTTTTCTGTGTATACAGGCTTTTTATCCTTTTTAAAAAAAATCCAAAGAACATTTCTAAAACAAATAAAATGTTGAGACATCACTAAAATGAAATATCCCAATACAAAGGTAAGGATCTAGAAAGAAGTGGGAGCAGTAAGGATCTCAGAGGATGAAGGCGAGCAGGCTTCATTTCTCTTCTCCCCTCTTTGACTTTTCCTTTGTCTTCGCCCATATCTCCCACCACACCCGCCATCTTTTTCTCACCCTTGGCCTTGGACATTAGTAAACACACGTGAGTAAGGAATCCAGAAAAGGGGGGCTTTAGCTCAGTTGGTAGAGTGATTGCCTACTATGCGTGAGACTGTAGGCTTGGTCCCCAACACCTCATAAAGCCGACATGGTGGTGAATTCCAGCAGTCTTGGCAGTCAGGAATAGAGCCAGGAACATCAGACATTAAAAAAAAATAAAGGTCATCCTGAACCATATAGCCATACTGAAGCCATCCTGAGCTGTTTAATACCTCCTTCCCTCCCTCCCTCTCTCCCTCCCTCCCTCCTTCCCTCCCTCCTCCCTCCCTCCCTATTTGTTCTCTGAATACATATATGAATTGACAGTCATTGAATGTCAATTGTAACTCTAACCCCACAAGGAGAGGGAGAGAAGGAAGTAGCCACTAGTTTCCCTGAATTGTTAAATGCACAGTGGACTTGGTTCCTACTTGCTGTCAGCACTGACATGGCAGCTATGTGGGATGCCACACTGGCTTGGTCGACTCCCTCTTCTCCTAGATCACTGGCAGTTGGTGTGCAAACCTCCTAGGAAGCTTTGGGTGATGAAACCTGTCACAGAAGCTGGAAAGTGGGACCGGGACTTCCCAGCACTCCTTCCTTCCTCTCCGTGGGGGATAAAAGTCTGGCAGAGAGGAGTTCAAGCAGCAACTGACTAAACAACGCATGGTTCTGGAAAGATGCAGCCACTCCTGCTCCTGTTGATTTTTATTCTACTCCAAGGAGATGAGGCAGGTGAGTGACCAGCCACACCTCAGAGATCTGATCTCATCCTATATACTAGCACTAGACTTCTGTGGCAATTTTAACTCTGTATTAGTGAGCAAGTTAACTGAACACACATTTCCTCAGTTTTCTTATCTATAAAATGTGGATAATATTAATACTGCCTCACAGCGTTGCTATGGCAGTTAAATTGGCTAATGTATGAGAGTCTTGTTATTGGCCCCCACATATAGAAAGTACTGTATAAATATTTTCTACATAAATTTATTCAGAAGCCTGTATACCAAAGCCCAGAGAAAAGAACTCAGCTGTAAAAGTCCCATCAGCTCTAGTCTAGACTCATATCTAGTCCCATGATATCAGGAGGTGCACTCTGGGACATGGGATGCTCTCTGGGGAAGATACCAGGGAACAGGGAAAGCTCATACCTTGGGGAAACATCCTTCCTCAATACCTGAGCCCAGGGCCAGACTTGTGTGGAACAAACACTGTTCTCCATTTGGAGAAGGACGGCACAAAGGACTGAAGGGCAAGGAGTAATTTCTGCAGAGACTTGGAGGTTTCTTCCTGCGCCTGATGTCCACACAGCTCCCTGTATCATGCCCCTGAGGCTTTTTAAAGCCCCTCACCCAGTGCTTTCTGCCTCTCAGCCTTCCTAAAGCTCCCCCTCCACACACACAGGTGGTTCTGTCTGCAGACTCTCAGACACACGTGTAAGTCCCGGTGCTTCCTTGCAGGAAAGATCATTGGAGGCCGAGAAGCCAGGCCCCACTCCCGCCCCTACATGGCTTTCCTTCTGATCCAGAGTCCAGAAAGTGCTTGTGGAGGGTTTCTGGTGCGAGAAGACTTTGTCATGACAGCGGCCCACTGCTTGGGAAGGTGAGAACCCAGGAGCTTCCCAGGAAGCCAAAGTCCCCCAATTTCCTCCTCTGAGCCTCCTGAATGTATGCAATTCTAATTAAGTGTAGTTATAATAAAAGGTTCTGCCTTTAATTCTAGAGACAAGACAGGAGTGGGAGGAGGGAGGTAAGAAGCCGGTGTTGATACGGAGAAAAGGAGATGTGATCAAAAGGTATACGACGATGAGGAGAAGGAGGTAGAAGGTACAGGCTGGGTGCTAACTATGAATTCACACTATTTCTGTTCAATCTGCTGTCCCCAGTTGAGATTTCTGAGAAACAGCAGGCAGGGCCCAGGCCTAGAGCCTTCCCGTGTCCCCCATTCTTTCCAGCTGTGGTTTTCCTGTCCTTAGTCCATTCGTCTGCCCTGCCGAACGGCTGGATCTCATATCTACCTCTAGTCCAACTTTTCTTTTGCAGTTCCATAAATGTCACCCTGGGAGCTCACAACATCCAGAGGCAAGAAAGGACCCAGCAACACATCCCTGTGCTCAGAGCTATCCCCCATCCTGATTATGATCCAGACAAATTCCGCAACGACATCATGTTGCTTCAGGTACTGCCTGCCAGACCTCTGACTCTCCAGCCTTACTGGCTTCCTCTTGGTTCTGTGACTTTTCTGTGTTTGGGGACTGTTGAGAAGGAAGTGGGGACAGGGTTCCAGGGTGGTGGTGAGGACAGAAAATCCCCGAGTGTGCGTGTGTGTCGGGGTGCCAACTGAGCTGGAATGCCTCCATTCCTCCTGACAGCTGACAAGAAGAATCCGGAAGAATAAAGCCGTGAGGCCCGTGGCTCTGCCTCAGCGCAGAAACCGTCTGCGGCCAGGGGATTTGTGCACAGTGGCTGGCTGGGGCCTAGTGAGCAGGAACATGAGAACAGATGTACTCCAGGAGGTGCAGCTAAGGGTGCAGAGGGACCAAAAGTGCAGCAATCGCTTCAACAACTACAACAGCCAGACTCAGATCTGTGTGGGGAACCCAAGAGAAAGGAAGTCTGCCTTCAGGGTAAGAGTATGAATGCCCACCAGTATTTCTTGGGACAAAGGGCTCAGGGCTGACAGGACAGCAAGGCCAGTCTTCCTGCCTTAGGGTACTTCCTGTTCAGGAATGACAGGAAGGCCCACAATGTACTTTAATGGGGAAGGTGAAGGTCCCCTGATGGAGAGAGCTGGAGTCGTCAACTTTAACCAGGCCTGAAGTCCAACAGCTAAAAGACCCAGGGGCTTGCCTCGACAAGCCCATCAAATATCCATCCCCAACACACAGGCAACCAAGGGCTCCACCCACTGGTGCCAGAATGGCAGGGCAGCAAGCTTCATGTCCTTTCCCTCCTCTGCTCCACAGGGCGATTCTGGTGGTCCTCTGGTATGTAACAATGTGGTCCAGGGCATTGTCTCCTATGGAGACAGCAATGGCATTCCTCCAGCTGTATTCACCAAGATCCAGAGCTTCATTCCCTGGATAAAGAGAACGATGAGACGCCTTGCACCACGGCATCAGGGACGAGCTCCAGGGGATTTCCATAGTTTTGGTTAATGTCACATGGAGAATGTAAATTTTGTTTAATTAAACATCATTTAGTGGTGTCTTAACTTGTTTGAACTCCTATGTCAAAATACTATGCAGTGGTATTCTAAACAACAGAAATTTTAATTTTGCTGTGTTTGAGAGGCTGGGAAGTCCAAAGTCGGGACACCATTCATTCGGTGTCTGATGAGGGGCACAAGATCACAGCTGTCTCCTTCCAGTGTTTTCATGCCCTGGAAAGGGCAGGGGATTCCGTGGGGTCTCTTAATAGGGTGACCATTCACAAAGTTTCATCTCTCATAACCTATCACCTCTCAGTTAACCTCTGTTAAATGGGGATTAGGTTTGATGCATCAGTGCTGAAGGAGTATGAACACTCATTCTCCAGTGACCTCTGCCTGGATAGAGTGAAAGTCTATAGGTAGATGGGGAAGGCGAAGAGTGAAGTTCCTTCAGAAAAGGAGTTTTCTTTCCGATAACAAACTAAACCTGTCATCTACCCACAGCCTGGGATGGAGGTGAGCGTCCTCCCTTCCTTAACTCATAGCCTGCCTTTCTCCCCCATCTCGCTCTCGGACTCCACTTCTCTCCCCTGGGCAAGGATCTCTCTCCCTGAAACCCACCTCCTCAGTGCTGTCCTAAGCAGACAGATAAGCTTGATTAAAGGGCAGAGTTGAAATCTCATTAAAGCCCTCATTTAATATAAGACAATTCCCAAACCCATGAGAGCCATAAACTTTCAATAAGTGGTATTAGGGCAACCAGATAGTTGTTTTGATAGGGAAAAGATAATATTGGATCAATTCCTTACACCACACTAAAAAAATAAACCTTAAATGCATACAGATGCTAAAGATTAAACGACACATGTTCTGGGTGAGAGGAACCAACAGAACATCGGTATGTTCAAACAAACGCCAATGTTCATAGGAGCACAAGTCACAAAAGTGAAGGGAGAAGCAAGGCAGTGTCCATCAAAGAGGGAAGTCCTTGTCTAAAACCTCCCATCATGCCAACAGGCTGTGTTACAGACCAGTGTTTCATTTTCAGTGATGAAGATGTGCTCCAGAACTTTAGTACTCTGAAGTTACATAAAACGGCACACAAAACACTGACTAAAAGAATAATGTTTCTATGGCTGTCTACATTGAATAAAGGATTATGGAGGTCCTTAGATAATCTGAGACCAGACTTTAAACTTCTTAAAGTCATTGCACAGAACTGGCCTTGACGGTTTTCTCCTACATCAAAATATTATTACACTTGACTGTTGGATATTTGCTATCTGAACTACTTTAGTTCCAGACTCAATAGTAAGAAAACCCAGGGGCAACCCCACCTCCTTGCATGTTCCCCCCATTCCTATCAGCACTTCCAAGGTAGTTTCTGAGATCTGACTTCCATTTAGAAAGGTTTCTACAACTCCCTAAGGTCCTAATGCCTAGTTCCCACGAGCTGCTGCAGGCTCTGGTCTCACCTTCACTCTCCTTTGCTGTTTGCATGGTCTTTAGCACACCACTCCAGACACAAGGCACACTCACATCTATTCAGTTCTTAAAGTCTCCCTTGGGGTCCTGACCCACTCACATAGGTGGGTCTAGGCTGTGAAGGAATTCTCCTCTGAAGGGAAATGGGATTGAGGGCCCAGATGCCCAATCTTGTGTTCTTCTCATGACCAAATCCGTGTGCACCATGGAGCAAACATATCTGAAGGGCCCAAGGGCCCAGGAGATCACTCTCTACACCATCGTCTGTTCCCACTGTGTCTCTCACACCTCCCTGGTGAAGAGTCTCAATGCCATTTTAAGCATATGTTGCAACAGTGGTAACGGCAGGGTATTCCTTTGATGATAGTCTATCTTATATCTCAGCAAAGAAGATTCTAAGTGGGGTCCTGGGCATCTATCCAAGGTTCAAAACATACGCACTACCGTCATTCGCCAGTCTCAATGTCCATCAGTCCATCCCTCTGTTCATAGCTGTCAGCCTTGCTTCTGAGACACACCCCTGCCTGATGAACACCCGTGCTTCTTCTGCCTTCTGTGTAAGAGGGGCTTGGAATGCTGTGTCCACCCTTCTTCAAGACATAAGTGGTTTTGTGAGAAGCAGCCAATTTCCAGGGCCGTGTTGGCTCTGGAGATGCAGTGGTGAGCATGACAGATGCTTAATGACCTGGTATTGGGGTGATCTTAATCTGTACTCACAGATCCTTGGGCATTGTCCTCAGAGTCTCTTAGGATGAAGCCTAGATGAAAAGTCAATATAAGGAAATTGGAAAAAGTAGGGGAGGGTTTTATCAGGGAGAGACGAGAGAAGGGGTTGATGCAGAAGAGGGAGGGAGGGAGGAGGGAAAAATAATACTAAGGATGTTTGGAGAGCCATAAGGACTGTCTTGGTTAGGATTTCTATTGTTGCACTGAAACACCATGACCAAAAACAAAGTTGGGGAAGAAAGAGTTTGTTTAGCTTACACTTCCATATTGCTGTTCACCATCAAAGGAAATCAAGACAGGAACTCAAATAAGGCAAGAACCTGCAAGCAGGAACTGATGCAGAGACCATGGAGGGGTGCTTGTTTTCTTATAGAACCCAACACTACTAGCCCAAGGATGCCACTACCCACAAGGGGTTAGGCCCTCTCCCATCAATCATTAAGAAAATGCCTTTCTGGGTGGTGGGGTTGCATACCTTTAATCCCAGCACACAGGATGCAGAGGCAGGTGTATCTCTGTGAGTTCAAGGCCAGCCTGGTCTACAGAGCAAGTTCTAGGAGAGGTTCCAAGGATACACAGAGGAATCTTGTCTCAAAAACAGAGAGAAAATGCCTTACAGCCAGACCTTACAGAAGCATTTTCTTAATCAAAGGTTCCTTCTTTCAGTTAACTCTAGTTTGTATGGTAAATTGACATAAGATTAGCTGGAATTAGGATCCATATTATTATTTACTTACATAAAATTACATATAATATGAGTAAGTGTACATGTATACATTTACACATATAGTTTAAATGAAGTTATATCTTTTGAGCTGACAGTGTTTGCCTCAAGAGCCACATACTCTCTAACAAAAAACTCAGTGCTAGGCACGTGAGTTTTGATTTCCTTTTGAATTGTTGATCAGGGATGTCCAAGAGACTCCTAAAACAATGTTGGTTATTTCTGTTGTTCTTAGTTGTCTCCCAGATCTGGAAAGTAACTAAGACACCATGTGCTTTGGAAACAGGACTCAGTGGATCTAAGCTGACTCTAACTTGAGAGTTTCCTCCTTAAGAACTTGGTATGGTAGTAGTGGAAGGTGCTCTGTGTGCTGACGAAGGAGGGGAGCAGCCAATAGTCCTACCCAGCTGCGACACCGTATGAACTACAACAAGGACCATCGTAACAATATATCCCTAAGGGTGAAATAGTGGCACTTACATCCTGGAAGTAACCAATACCTATTCAACAGGAGGAAAATCATGCTTGGTACTGGAAATCTAACCAACTCCCTGGAGCTAGTTAGGTCACGGATCTTAGAGGAGAACCTACTGCCACTACTTCACTAAACCAGCATAATTCCTGACTGCATTCTAAATACTTATCCTCATACCCATGGGTAAGTATAGCTTTCATCCCTCATCAAAGAAGCCTCTTTTTTTTCTATAGACAAAGGCCATTACAAAAAGTCACAATTCTTCAAAACACAGAGAACAAAGGATCATGGGGTGCCCAGCCCCAGTAGATACATCTACAACACAACTCCTGAACCTAAGGTTCAGGAAATATCTCAGAAGAGGAGGCAAAAATATTGTAAGAGCAGAGAATCAGAAAATATTCTGTGCAACTGTGTCTCCTAGAAATGACAGGGAAGCTTCACTTACCTCAACAATATGGCTGCTTCTACAAGAGCTGAACATGTAACAGATACCAATAGACAAGCTAACATGGAAGAGGGGAATTTCACGGGGCTCCAACCCTAAAGGAAGAACTATAAGCCACTAAGGAATGCTGAGAGCAAGAGAAATAGTCTTCCTCAGGGTTGAGCCTCCGATTGGTTATACAGCGCCAAGTGGTCAGCCTTGAAATCCCATGCATGTGAGCAACACTAAAGGAACTCAACAGGTTACGTTCATGTATTTAGGCATTTGTGCAATGTAACAATAATAATTAAAGAAAAGAGGCTTTGGGTCTGGAGGATGACTCAGTGTGGTTAAGAGTGCTTACTGCTCTTCCAAAGGACCTGTGTTTGGTTTCCAGCCCCCACATCAGGCAATTCACAACCGCCTGTAACTCCTGCTCTAGGCGATCCTATGTTATCATCCATCCCCCACCACATGCAACACACATACACATAAAGAAAAGTAAATATTTAACAACAAGAAAGAAGAATAGGCTAAGAATATGAGAAGAAGCAAGGGAGTACATAAGAGGCGTTGGGGAGAGGGAAAGGAAAGGGGGGAAGTGATGTGATTATATCTTAGTCAAAAAAATTAAAATCACTATAAAGGCAAGAATATTCAATTCTAGTATAAATATCACAACTTTCATTGTAGCACCAATGTTCTACTAGTATCATTTCACATGACCCTGCTGATGGTCTTGGCCCATGGATCAAATTAGGAATTACCTTAGAGGACAAAAGAAAGAGATTAAAGCCCCACCCTTCTACAAGAAATTACATACATTCATTGGTCTTAATGTGAAATATTTCATCCATAAGTGAATTATTCGATGAAACAAAATTATCCCTTTAAAAAAGGATAATTAAGGACATACAGATATAGTCCCAGTCGAGAGAGTGACCATCATAGATCCCAGCAAGTACACTGCAGATTCTGGGCTGCCTTGTCTACGCTGACAAAGCAGGGCTCCTCTACTAGGAAAGTTTGCTTCTGACAACCATTTTTCTTCCAAATTTGTATTTGTGTGGGCCTCCAGGTCCCCTGACATGTCCTGGAGAGAATGTTGCACATAAGACCATGTGGTCTCACATCCTGCCTCTGAGCTGGTTATCAGTGTTCCATCTCCAG